GTACACACCATGGTAAATAACGGTCGAGGAAGTCCTGTCCACCCTGGTGTCGACTGTTTTCTCTTACGTGGTTTCTCCATTGCCTTCTTAAACGTTCAGGGAAACATTGCTCTCCCGCCTAACATAAAGCTTTCCACTACTGTGAGAATCCATCGGGATTTACTGGTTTATTGCGAACATAAGAAGAGTGTAAATTAAGGAGGCACTAGGCGATTACAAAGAATTCCGTAATCCACAATAGACTTCATTTCATGAACCCCAACGAATTATTGATAGAAATGATCAAATCCTTATTATTCGTACTTTATGTATAGATCCATGAAAATAAGAAGGCACAAATAAAAGCACAGACTGTATGCGATGAAAATATTATTAGCCTTGAATGTAGGTGTGAACGCTTCAGCCCTTAGGCAGCTTGGAATTTGAAGAAGAGTAAACTCAAGTCAAGGCCTTATTCACTCACTTTAACGGATTCCGTCTTACCAGTTCCAGCTGGACCATAAGGATTTCCGCCGAGACCCATATACATTGCTGAAATTGCAAGCAATTTTCTTCTGAAACTTTCCTGCCTTTGTTCAATAACTAACGTTGAAAAAATAGTGCTATGGCTTTGCAAGGTTGAATAATTACTAGGAATAGGATGGATAATTTTTCTTTCCTTCTCATTACATCCTCATTTCCCCGAAAAGGAACAGAAGAAGTCAGCTTTTTGAATTAGAATAGTTCGCTTACCTTGAGTAAGAGTGAGGTAGCATTTGTCCGTTAGAGGTGTGTGGACCAGCTTCGGTGTATTACCCTGGAAAATCGATTCCAAGAGTAGAGAATGGGGGAAAGAAAAAGGAAATGCGACGTAAAGAAAAATGTGACTTAAAAGCTATTCGAAGCTTTTACCTGGTACTCATAGGTGTAGTTGAACTCGCTGTTCACTTGACGAGCAACGACCGCGTCTCCGACGAGATAGAATCGAAGCTGACGCTGCCATGTCCAACATTGCGATGAGCTACAAATCATGACAAGAAAAATGTAATAGGGATTGCTTTTGGTTACGGTAATTAGTAGATAGATTACGGTACATGGGCGGAAGATCTAAACATTTATCTCGACGTTTCTTTGTTGGTGTCGAAGGCATGGCGCAGACAAATAGGCAGATAGCCTTTGAGGACTGGATCAGTAGATGGGCGATCAGGTAAAGAATTATTTAACCGTTCCATTGCAATAGGGAAAAAACCCACAGAAACAGCTGATAAACCCATCGGCAGATCCGATCCTCATAGATCTACTTGACTACCCGTTGGCGCCCATACCCTCCCCAGGTGCTGGGCACTTACCTAGCATGACTGGCGATGAGTTGGTCCACGACATCGATGTGATGAATCAGATCGAGAATCAGCGCTTTCAATTTGAGGTCGAGCACTATGTCGCTGACTTTCGTATTGTGTAAGCTTTGAGTTGTTCCTGTAGAGCCGCCTTCAACTTCTCGAAATCTCTTGAGCCATCCAGCGTCTAAAAGCTTCTCCTCACTGTGGTTATAGATGATATTAAGCCAGGAAAGAGCTACCGATATTTCCGGATGCGTGTCAAGGGTGACAATCTTGATTGAGGCGCTGAAGGGATGGAAAGGAGAGCGCTCATGCGTATAAGGCGGGGGGGAACCAAACATCCTCGAGTAAGTGCACTCAACATGTGAACTAGTGCTTTTTAGGGAAAAAAGGCCCTTAGGGAGACGATGTTAGCAGTGTTTCCGCTATGCGTTCTGACACATGCTCCGGCTTGGTCCTAGTGCTTCAGCGAGTTCTTAAAATTCACAGTTTGATATTACACCATCTCAAGGCAAATCGAAGCCACGATGAGGCATAGATTGCTTAACTAAGCGATTGTTGAGGTGATAGCGCAAAGCCGCTGGACTGTCTTTACGTCACGAGCACAGATAAATAGGTAAATAATTAGCCCTCAGAAACTTACCTGTTCGCAGCTTTGACAGAACCGAACTTGTTCGGCAAGGCAGAGAACCTGTGATGGATACCTAAAAAATCGTTTGAAATAGGTAAATGGATCGAAGTGCTACGATTCAGTCACTTTGCGCTATACCTGGCTGGATCGACGTTCACATTCACGGATTGCTTCCACGACAGTTCCTCAGCCGGGTGATGATACGCAATTTAGTCGGACGAGTTTGTGAAGCGCAAATCATGCAACTACATGAACAACAGCATCACATTGCTCCATGCGTGTGAATTCCTTACAGGGGCACGAAGCGACAGGTTTGAGAGATAAATCTACTCTCGATACGATCAGAAGTCTGAACCCAGCTCTTGCCCAAGGAGGCGGATGCACACAAACCTGCGTAGGCCGCCGAAAAGCATAACTGTTCTCTCAAAAGCAACGAAACTGAAGCTTTAACGACTAGTTTTCGATTGGCCATACCAACATTGTCGAAAAACGGCAGCATGCACTCTTGAAGCCTAATTACGACGCATAACCGGGGTCTAGGATTTTGAATACAGAATGTTTACAAAAGCGATCTCAATTTTCGCCATTTTCTTGAACCATTAGCATTCTGCACAGATAGTAGGTCGCACTATTCTGAGGCAAAGCGTTTTATAGTGGCAACTTGGATTCAGAATGCTCAAAAAAAAAAACGTCCCTCAAAAGGTAATGAGAGAATATTCACCTATAGTGGTTCGGTTTTCTGAATGTTGGACACTACAGAAGGCACTACATGCGGCCCTCGGTCGGTAGTTCAGCTATAGGCAAGATTACCAGGCGAGGCAAGGCTAATGAATTGGAATTAGTCAGGTGAACAAAGTAAAGCTAGCCCCACTCCTATCTACTGCCCTCAAGTGCACGGCTCAGGACAAAAGTTTTGTGTAAAAGTGTTCATATTGAAGATATGGGGCGGAGTGAACTGAAACTGAAAACATGAGGCAACGTAACTATCGAAAACACCAGAAATTTGGGCTCAAATCTTCCGTGAAGTCGGTCGTGGTACTCCGGAAAGACAGCGCAACGACAGCGTACCATTACGACCACTATTGGAAGCACTGGCAGCATCAGTAACCGTCAGCCCTACCCTACCAAAAGAACGTTTTAATCCAGTGGTCTACTCCCAGGAAATGGCTTTAATTTTAGCAAGAGTGGATTCACTTCAAAAATAATAATTTCCCTTCCATCCACTTTCGCTAGGTCCCGCCTCGTTGCAAGCAGAAATGCCGTCAGCGATTGAGGTGCCCTAGATGAGTGTGGGTTACATCGCATCGTCTAACTGCAAGCAATAGCTGCTCCGAATCGTATTAAGTTTACGTATCGTATTAAGATTACGGTCAAGAGAAGTCTAGTACATTGTAACATGTTCGCTTGGTGAATTCCAGCAATATAGTAGTGCAAATTTTGACATTTTCACTGCTTTGAACAAATCAATTGTCACTCCTTACCTCAACTTGCGGGACAACTCGCACAGGACGGCTGAGAGGGACGTGTTCTCCTTGAACGGAAAGCATTGCCGATATTGTCTCATTGTTATTGCCAAACACCACCTTGTCGATTCCCTAAATTGCTTTTTCATTATTTTTACTATTCTCCTAATGGGCGGAAGTGGTGTAGTGGCAAGTGGCACGCTTACCACGCGAGCGGTCCGGGGATCAAATCCTGGGTCGTGAGTCGCCCGGGCCAACCAAGCCTTCCATCCCTCCGGGGTCGGTTAATTGGTACCAGACTTGTCTGGGAGGATAAAAACACTGACTTGTACATCGGCTGGCCCCCGCAAGTCATTGTATAGGCCACATCGCATTCAAACGCCACTACGAATGTACAAATGGAAGTAGAATGCGTGCCGCATCCCAAGTTATTCAATACAAATTTTCATCGAACCATTACGCAGGCAGCCTATGTTCTAATGAGGTGATTTCTGAAGATAGAACTCGATCAAAGAGGATTTCACGATTAGGTTCAAGGTCG